TTCATCAAGATATATTTCCCTTTGTGCTACCCAGTCTAGGAAAGATTCTGAATGCTCAAGAAGTAAAAATTTACCTAGGGGAGAGGCAGAGTGGCAAGAATAGAAAGGAGGCAAATGAAGAGCATCAAAGTTTCATTTTCTATTGACCTGAGGGTCAAAAGAACTTGAGATATATATATCATTCGTGTGATCTTGAAGAATGCTATTACATTTTTAAAAAAGGGAATAGACAGTGATACACAGGAGAGAATCAATAGATTCAAAATAGAAACTAAAAACACAAGAAAAACTTTAAAATCAGTGACAAGAGGGAGAGGGGAGAGTAAATTAAAATGCTGTCAGAAAGAAAAAAGAAAGCAATTGAAAGAGTTAAAAAATGAACATACATAGAAGTATCAAGTGAAAATCTAGTTTTTCTGCTCTCGTGTGTTTCATTTGATGATTCATTCCTCCGTGTATAAAAATAATATATATACAATGACAGAAATTAAATCTTTTTCATATTTATAGTTTCAAGAACACTAATTTGAAAGAAAATGTGATTATAAAGTATTTTATAGTATTAAATGCCAAAAATTAATGTAATAGCATGTGATCCCGTGCATGTGCAATAAAGCTTCCTATTTGCTCTTAACAATATTGTTAAATTCATTGTTTTTTTCTTTTAGAATCTAGGTGAGAAAACTATACTCCTGAATAAAAGAAACTACTAAGTATCACGTAAAGATCCTTGAGATTCAATTGTCACATGAATCTCTTTGCTCTGGAATTCATCGGTTGGAGTCTCTTTCAAGGCTGTTGAAAACTTGAAATGCCTGTTTTTTACAAATTCAATAGTTTATGTTATCTTTCCCTACCTCTGTTTGTTGACTGGAGTTCAATACTTGCATTCATCCCAATTTATTACACGGGATTTAACCAGCCACAGCAAAAAGCTGATAGGATTTCTGACAGTGGAGTCAGTTACTCTCTGGTGATAAAGAGCCTGGTTGATTGATGCACTTTTGTTTCTTTCATTTAGCAATCTTTCTGTCTCCCCAAATGTATTCTCTACCGCAAGGACTGCCACAGATTCTAGGTTTTCCAAGCAATCTATCTTTCACTTGAGCACAGACCTTTGCTTTGTTCTATACAGGACAGATTTCTAAGTTTCGTTTTCTTGGTCCCCTTCTAAGTGATAGGCACAGAGACAGAAGGACATTTATTTAAGTCAACTAAATTTTTAAAGATCTTTGTGCACTTCAGATGTTTTAAAAATGCAATATGTTATTTAAGTTGGATTCCTTTTTGCTTTTCTCCTGGCACAATTACTCTTTTTTTCCCCCTTGCAATGGAAACCCTGACCTTGACGGATCAAGGACTTAGAGAAGCAAGGTCGGCAAGTGTCTACAGCAGGAGCAAAAGCTTCCTTATTAGATGCTTTAGACGCTTTTTTTTTAAATTAGATGGCTTTTATTTACAAGGCTTTTTTTTGTTTTCCTTCCAGGCCTTTGAACCATAGGGAGGAAATCATTAATGGTAACTCAGTAATGAAGATGTTTGCTCTCTCTTCCACGCCGAACCAGAAAACCTTACTGTGTGGCTTGAGAAGAGAGATTTCCAGCTGATCCTGCAATATCAAGTGAATACTTGCGTTGTGAATGTTCAGTGTACATGTTAAGCTTTACTAAGATTTACTACTTAAATTGAAGTAGGCAGTTTGGTGCAACAACGACTTATGGGTACACAGTGTTCTTCACTAAATGCATTACAGTTTTATCATGAAAGATGCTTAGAGGAGGTAATGTTCTTTCTCAAAGAAAAAAGCATTTGCTACTGCTGGGAACAACTAGATATGCAAAACTACAAGGAATACATTTTAATATACTCTTGCTGGAGAAGCCCCATATTCAAAAGTTAGTTACAATAGCTCTTATATAATTTATTGCATGATTTCACAGCAATTGTAAAACCAAATTTTTTCATATATTCATAACATATGGTAGGGGCCAGTTTATTTCAACACTTGTACATACTCACATTTTGTCAACATCCATAATATCTGCAGTACAAAACAGAATGTTATAAAATACCTTTTTCCTGTTAAGGACCTGATGATTAAAGCCACTGGATGTTTAAAAACAGATTTGCAAAGAAGTCTTCTTTTTCCTCTATAATGTAACACTATTTGTATTTAAATCATTGTTCTGTGTCATTAAAGTAAGTCACACTTTCCTTGTTCTACTTCAGAATATTTTAGAGACATCTACTGGAAAAGAGTATTATTGCAAATTTTATAAAACAGGTTTAAGTGTATGTTACTGCTGACTTTTTGAAAAGTATCTTGAAGGTCATATCACAAAATTAGGTCCCTTTCCAAAGACCAAACCCTTGTGCACTCTGACTTGGATGACTCACTCCTCATTATGGACGAATATATATATTTGAAATGAGAAAATGACATAACAAATGTAAAACGTATCAAAACTATTACTTTGATGTTGGATTGAATGCTCCCTTTTTCCCTCCAATAAAGCTCTATTCATTTAGATTTTTAAAAATTGGTTTCTTTTCAATAATATGACTAATATTTTTTATCAGGTAATCTAGAACTGTATTTATCAGTATTTTGATTATCTGAGTTGCAGCTCAAGTACATGTGTGGCAGATTAGCATATTGTGGAATAAAGAGATAATTGCCCCATGGATTCTGAGTCACCATATCTCTTTCTAACAGTCTGGGGATGGATCCACATCCCCAAAGAAATAGAAAGAAGGGTGTAAAAGAAAGAAATGGAAAGAAGGGTACAAAAGTGGAGGAAAGAAGTCAAAAAGAATACAGTTGCAAACAGCTCCACTTTATACCTGAACTGGTGAAATTTCTTGCATATTTTCAAGATCTCCCTAATACAGTTTGTTTAGCTATTAGAAGGGGAAATATGCAAATAGCCTCTCAGGAGAGAGATAATGAAGGTTCAAGGGACAAAGGGACACAATAATTCCTAATACAACCAGTGCATCCATTGTACTAACAGAAAATTCAATCCTTGAAAATACCACTGCACTGAAAGTGAAAAGTAGAATGGCCAAAGTATAGTAAGGAGCAACAGGAGGTTCTTTTGGAATCAAAGCTATATTAGAATCTGTTGTATGGCAACATGACACAATACACACATCTGCCACCAGAACATTATTCCTGTTGTAAATTTCAGTAGAAAAGAGGCCTTTCAATAACAGCTTTATTAGCAGATACCTGAATTATGAGTGGTTCCAATTACACTATTATGACAGAAGGTTATAATCAGAACTGTTCTGGGACATTTTTTGTCATTGGAAATTAATACAATGATTTGTAAACCTAGTATAAAAACTATCCACAGGTTGCTTCTAATTAGGATATAAGGTGTCATTAAGTAATCCCTAAACTACTTGAATTCTTAATATTTCATATCATGCTTTGAAAAATGAGAATGCCAAGACACAGTTGATATTTGAAACTGTCAACTAGTCTTTGTTTCCTGTGTCTATATTTACAGTGAAGTTGTGGTATTTTTCTGCCTACATGTACGCAGTCCACTACAGTGATAAAGAATTGATTCGTAAGTATGAAAGGTTGAAACATGGAGCAACAGCAGTTCTCATCAACTGGAGTCCATGACATTCTTTCTTCTGTAGACTTTTTCCCTGCCACGTGTCTACAAATAGGGTGTGTAATAATATCCTAAATTTCTAGAAAAGTGCTCTGCAAACAAACACTTGAATCGTCGAGAAATAATGATGGAATTAATAATCTCATAATATCCTTCTTCGTAGACTAGGAATACAGACCTCAGAAACAGAATTCTAAATCCTATCTAGAACTTTTAACCATTCACCAACTCTAGAATCAAATATGTTTTACCATTGTGAGTATATTTGTGTACTTCATGGAAATCAGAAATCAGGGCCATATTTGGGTCTTTTTAGATTATACTAAATTACTTTATTTCCAAATATTTTCAGTATAGATTATATTTTATTTAAAAGTTTATTATACCTGGTTATAAATGCAGTACATATTCATTCTGTAGTCTGAAAATATATTGAATTTTTATAACATCTTTGAAATTCATGCCAGATCCAGAACAAATAGCATTATGGCAAAATTTGCCTGCAGATTCTCTTTGTATGGGTTAGTAAAACCATAAATAATATCCCTAACTAAACTACAGGATTCCTAGAGCTTTTGTATTATAATTTGCTTTTTCTTAATGTGAGTCATAATGGTTTCTCCACACTTATATTAATTTTTAATCACAGTCTCTTACACTGTTGATTGAATTCCCCACGACTGCTAATGGCCTTTCTTGTAATATTCATTCATTTAAAATATGTACGCTGATGCCATATCTTATATTTCAAAGGAAATCTGTTTAAAGCCAAAAGCAAAATAATAGTCACATGGATATTAGGCCACAGTGGGTTACCATGTGTTTGATCAGCCTTGCCACCAGAAAGTCCTTAAAACCTCAGTTGAAAAAAAAAAAATGGCTCCATTAGGATTTTAAAATAGAAAGAATTATTCATGGCATGCTTTGTATATCCTTTGATACTAAATTTGATTCATATGCACATTATTTCAAATAACTGAACTAGAACAAAATTAGAGGGTAGTCTTATTTTTATATTGAGTCACTTCTAATAATCCTTTGTTTAAAAGTATAAAATTAGCATCCTCGATATTTTAATAAGGCATGCCTCTATGGCACATACTTAAGAATAAGTAAGATATTTCATCAGATTTCCATTTGCTCATCATATAAATCCAACATCAAAATGGGGCAGAAGTTAAAGAATAGCTTATGAGACTTTAGGGTGCTATAAAAGCTACTAAGTTAGAAAGCTCAGAAAGGTAACAGTCCTAGAAATTTGGCTACATGCTAATTTCCTTGGTTCAAACTAGGGAATGCAATTCTTTTCTTCATTAGAATCAGTTTCTCATTGTTCAGAACTGTGATTATGAAATTAGTATTAGCATATACCTTTTAGCTGACATTTCGGCCCACTGTATCCAGGACAGCACCTCCAATCCAATGAGGTGACAATTTTATGTTGCATCCTGTAGATAGGATTGGATATCCTCTGAGATCTAGAAAGTTGAGCAATTAGGGGTAAATCAATTATTTGTTTCATATTAAATTATCAGTTGGAATAATAAATATAAATTTTTGGGGACAATGCTTACAATATAACAAGCATTTATTAAGTATCATTTGTTGTTACTGTAATCATGATATTCATCACCAATATTATTGCCTAATGTAGGTTTCTTTCATACATTACAAAAAGCATTAGTGGTTATGGTTTTTGGTATTTTATATTGTTACCTATCATTGACTTTCTATAGATATTATAGCTTTTCACTTGATAATACTTTTATCTAAACCAAAAAACTTATTTTCATTCCAATTTTAAAGTTATATGGAGATAACTTATTCTACTTCAATTCGTATTATTTTCTATATTGTTATAATAAAAAAGATATGTATTTCCTCCAGATCAATATCAAACAACTTGAAACAAATTAAATATTTGTGATCTAATTGAAATTATGATAACCACCATCATTTTCCCATTGAATTTTTCATCTTTCAAGTTTTGAAATTATACTACCTACTATTTTTGTCATATAATATTTCTCTGAGAGGGAGAGAAAGAGCAAGGTAAGGACAGAAAGAGAGAGAAGGGATATAAAATGGGGAAATTTTATTTCTAAGATGAAACCACAGAACAGCAGAAGAGAAATAAGGAAACTATAGCACTTCAACATGACAATCAACATAATTAGTAAATGCTACTAAATTGTGAGTTCTGTGTATGTATATGTAAGTCATAAGTACAATTTGGCCATATTAGTCTTACCCATATAACTTTAATATTTAGCGGATATGTATCAAATGGGTCTGTAAAATGGGCACATACTATCTTGCTTAATTTTCATATTAGTTTATGATGAAAGCATTATTATTATCCTGATTTGCTATTGAGGAACCTAAAGAACAGAGAGACAAAATAACTTGCTTAAAGTCTCATATCTAAATGGGGTAGAGCTGTGATTTTTAGCCCATGTCGTGTGGGCTAGGCTCCCATGTTATTATACAGGAATTTTCCACATGCAACTATGTGGAGACAACAGTCATCCACACAGGTACACCTTAAACATGTGGAGCAATAGCATTATAACAGATTGGGCTTTAGGGGCTTGGGTTTTAGTTTCTGCTATAACATGACAGGTAACTGAGTATGTCTGAGGCTGTATGTTAGTTCCAAAGTGAGCTATAAAATTCTTTCCATTTGTAAAAGCATGCTAATCATTTACCTTCATTTATTTCAGTAAATCATTATATCTAGTGAAATATCATCTGCAATCCCGTAGTTAAAGCTAAGGAGGAAGTAAAGCAGTTGGAAACAGACTCTATACAGAGTTTGTAAGGATGAGCTCAAGCAGTTGATTGAATACTACTGTTGGGGACAATATTCCTGCTTTGGCAAAATGAGTATCTGTTGCATGTAACTCTGACACAATAAAAGAAAAAGTAGCAAATATGGCATAACTATTAAAAATAGTGAATGAATGGACCCATTCAGAAGGCATAAAAAAGATAAGGGAATAAAGATAAATACTTCTGGTTTGTTTAAAGAAAAGAAAAAAAATCAAAAGGGCTCACCTTGAATCCAGAAGGGCAGCATGCTAGGAGTTACTGTGGTAAAGTTTTCATTACTAAAGAATTAGCAACGCATTCTTTGTGTCTCATGTTGACAAGGAAATTGTCACAAAGGGAGTAAAAGCTGAAAACAGAACTGGAGCTCAGTGCTCCCAAATCCCTAAGATGTGCTTAGCTCTCTGGACCATGAACCTTAGCTATTCCTCAAGAGACTAAGAAACACCTTGATTTTGTGTATCCTTATTGTGCACTGTTCCAGATTGCCATGTGTCAGATTCATTGCCTGAGTTATTTGTATGACAATTTGCATAACATTAGCCATCATCGCCTGAATAACAATTTGAGTTTTTACTGCAGGCTCTTCAGAAACACCCCCAGCTGAGCTACTGTGACTACATGAATTCAGAGAATTTATCAATTACTCAGCCCTATCTTTTAAGACAACAATATAGATTAAAAAAAAATGAAAATCAAATGACATGGCTAATTATAATGGATGCAAGAAGAAAAGCTTCACTTAGCTGCTTTAATATGCATAATTGTAACTAGAAGATTTCCCAGTTTTAGAATGTGAACCAAATTATAAACTTCTGTCTGACCTATTATGAAGAGAAAATAATAAATAAATCTTCAAAATTGTGCATGGATTTCATAAGCAATTAAAGGACAGGATTGTTGACCAGATATAGAGCACAAGTAATAGTGATAGTAAAAATAGTAAAAAGCATGAGAATTAACATTTATTGAAGGCTCACAAAGCATAAGGCACTAGACTAAATATATTATTGCATTATTTCAAATGATTCTAAAAATGATCATATGAGGCAAATATTAGTGTCTACATTTTCACTTACTGAAGCAAAATATGATGACCATCTCTTGACCCCACTATGCATATGTACCTTGGATGACTATATTCCCAGCTATAACTTATTATGTTGCAGGCAGTGGTTATCTTCAAGAAGTATTACATACCTCTGAGGACAGGATCCACTGGTCCAGCCACAAGGTCCTCTCCCACCTGGGACATAAGAGACCTGGTTGTCCAATATCACTGTGGGAGATAACCTCGTATGTACATAAGCACACCAGTTCCTAAGGAAGATGATAATAGTTAAGGAAAAATTATTGTCCAAAAGAATTCTTTTCATCAAAATTATTTTCACAGACAAACATCTATTTTAGCCATACTTGTACAATTGCTACCTAGCTTTAAAATATTTAAATGTAAGAGAAAATAACTTATTACTACATTGCTATACTCAGGGAATGTGAAGAAACACTCAAGATCAAAATAAATAAAAGAATAAATCAAAGCTAAAATGAAAAACCTGCAGGTTTAGCTGTAAGATAAATCAAAATGCAAGAATGCTCTTATAGCAAGTATTAATATTAGTACTGAGATAAAGAAAACCTCAGATCTTGATCCACTACTTTTAATTATGTGCAGTAAAGTATAAGTAAATAAATGAGTGGTTTAAAAATCAAAAAAGAGGGAAAAGAACTGTTATTAGCTGCAGTGGATATGATTGAAACTAAACAAAATACAAAATAGTCTAGATGCAGATTATTATAATTAATAAGAGAATTCAGCAATGTAATTAAATATAAATGTTTATGAGTTAATACAAGATGAATTTATATTTATTTAATCACATGGTTAATATCAGTTATATTTCTCTGTACCAACAACAAATTCAAAAATAGACTATTAACAATAGTTAAAAAAAAAAACAAGAATAATGTACCTAAGAACAAATTCAGCAAAAGAAGTGCTAGGTTTAATACGTAAAAATTTTAAACTTTATTGAAAAACTTTAAAGTCCAATGAATCATGTTAATTAATGGAAAACCCAATGCAAATATGTCAGTTTTCCTCAAATTAATCTCCAAATTCTATGCATTTTTCACAACAAATGTTAGCCAGATATGAGGAGTTAAATAAACTTATTCGATAATTTTTCATATAATAAACTAAAAACAAATTTCAGAGAATTCTGTCTCTGGCTATATAAACTATCAGATTTACCTTTTTATAGTAAAAATTATAAATCTGAACAAGGTATGTAAAGTAACAGTTTTCAGATGTTGGATAGTAAACAATGTGGTGATATAATTTTTAAGAAAAGGAAAATATGTGATGTTAGCTCCATTTCAATCTAGTTTTGTGCCTGGAAACAGTTTTCAGACTGCGTCACAGAGGAATGGATTCCAAAAAAGACACCAAATAAGGAAAATAGAAATCTCAGTTTGAGGATATTAAGGTGGTTAAAAAGTGTGACAAAGATTAATAAAATGAAGGGGACAGACAGAAATGTCATTTTAAAAGTCAATATAAGGGTGCCCTTGAATCTTGGGCTGAATAGTATTTTGTGCTTGCAACCAACAAAATCCAGACGCTAATAAAATAGCATCTACAATGCCTAATATGAAAAGCAAATAAAACTAGATACAAGAGAAAGCAGGAAAATAGGACCAATACATGGAGTAAAAATCCAGTGAATAGAAAAAAAAAAAAAGACAGAGATATCATAGATGTCAGAATTAGCAACTTGTGACTTTAAAACAATTAACCATTAAATAGAACAAGAAGTATACAAGATATGAATTTAAAACGGACTTGGATGTGTTTAACAGAAGTTTGGACGCTGTAGAAAGTAGACCAATGAACTCGAAGACAAGGAATAGAAACCATCTAAAGTACAGAGAAAAAATTCAAAAACAGAAATGAACAAAACTAAAGTGGTCCTAAGATGGGGCAGAATAAATATGTGAAGAAAAGAAGGGAAAGTTTTCTAAATATGTTTTTTAAAAAAAATCAACCCTCAAATCCAAGAAGCTCAATGAATTCCAAGAGGATAAACAAAAGTAAAACCTCACTTAAGTGCATCATACCCAAATTCCAGCAAGCAACACATAAAAAGAAAAAAATACGTTAATTGCTTTATTTAATCATTCCACATTGTCATCCATCTAAGGCAGATAAATTGAGCTCCGTAGAACTTATTGTGTTCTCTTGAATGAGATGTTTAAAATTTCAGGCCTCTTAAAAAAGTAAGAAGGCATGGTGGCACATGCTAAATCTTTGGTGACAATTGAGGTGAACATAATGTGAAACAAAGAACTGAAAAAGGCAAGAAATAAAAATAAGAAAGATTTAAAATTGAGAGGACTGCAATAAAGGGATCTTTAAAAAATAAACTAGATTCCTCTTGCAAATGCAATGATGATCCTAATTACTGAGACTGACTAACTTCAACAGAAGCACAATTAAATTGTCACTTGAACATTCTCTGAATGACTGTGGAGGGGGGAGTGTGGGGCAGAAACAATACAAGTATCATCATCACTACATGCTCAGGGCTCTGAAAAGAAAAAAATACATTCATTCTCTATGAGGCAAAATGATACAGTCACCTGGCAGAGTGACTGTATCATTTTGGAAAATCCTAAATATTAAAACAATCTTGACTATAATAGTTGAGGAGGCAAAGAAGCAGATCCGCAGACTGCTCATGGCCCAGCAATCTTTGATCCAGTGTAAATTGGAAGAACTACCCACAGCAAAAGAGCCCCTGTTGTGACTTGTAATTAGGTTTATGCTACCAATGAAATAAGCTCATTAAGGGATGTTAAAAATGTAAATACAATTTTAAAACCAAATTATCTGAAAATGTAGATTTAAAAATAGAAAATTAAGCATGGCAAAATGGTGACAGGCCGTTTAAAGGCAAATGCAATGATCCCAGACAAGTATTTTGCTTAAACCTAGTAATCCTTTGTACCTTTCTAGACTGATTATGGTGGATGGAGAGCAGTTACTTTGAAGTGTTTAGTTTTCCATGGGGTCATAACCCTCCATCCAGCAGACCACATTTGGGATTCTCTTTCAGGGTAATAACTCTGTTGCTTTTGTGCAGCAACATGTACAGAAAAAAGCTTGTATTGATTCTTTGGATTTTCCAAGTTAATAGGTAAAAGGTTTGTTCTAGGGAAAAACAGACATCTTTGGTTATGAGCAAAGGCCTAGCCTGTTGAACATATATAACAGAGAGGGGAAAGATTCTATTATGATTCATAAAACTCGAAGGCTTGTGGATAATGAACTAAGAGAAGGCATCATAAATAAACGTCGACTGTATTTTTTATTTTAACATTTTACAAACCCAATCTTTCAGGAAATTAGTGAAAAGACTAAATGTAAAAAAACTTCCATTAATTGACTAAATAATGACCCATTCATACCGATTCTTATCCTGAACTGAGAGGGCACTAAAGCAAAAAAGATGGCTTTAAATAATGACCACACAGAATATTTTCCCAAGAAATAAACGGACAATCTAAGAATTAACATTATTCAGTTATACCAGTCCTTAGAACCCACAGGAGTAGGCTGCTTGTCATCCAGTTCAAAAGAAGGAAAATACTTAAATTTTCTTTTTCTTTTCTTTTCTTTCTTTCTTTCTTTTTTTTTTTTCTTTTTTTTTTTGAGATGGAGTCTCATTCTGTCGCCAGGCTGGAGTGCAGTGTGGCGATCTCAGCTCACTGCAAACTCCACTCCCTGGTTCAAGCGATTCGCCTGCCTCAGCCTCCTGAGTAGCTGGAACTACAGAACTACAGGGGTGTGCCACCATGCCCAGCTAATTTTTATACTCTTTTAGTAGAGATGGGGTTTCACCATGTTGGCCAGGATGGTCTCGATCTCTTGACCTTGGGATCCACTGGCCTCGGCCTCCCAAAGTGCTGGGATTACAGGTGTGAGCCACCATGTCTGGCCAATACCTAAACTTTCATGCTAATGAACTGTGGCTTTAATCTACACAATAGTATGAAAATACCAAGTCCTGAAGATGTTCATTAGAAATCAAGGTAAGCCAATAAAATTGCCACCATAAGCCAAGGCAATGGTATATAATTTTCTTTGAGAAGTTGGAGAAGATTTTGTGTCTGGAGGAGACTTTATGGGTTGAAGGACCTGTGTTTCCCGTCATCCCCTTGAAATTAGAGATTTAAAGGGGAACAAGAGGAAAACAAAACAGGACTAGGCAGACATAGCTGCTTCTGAAAATTAACGTCTCTCGAAGAAAGAGGATTATCAGGTGACCCTAGTAATAACCTCTCACACCTCACCTAATTTCCACCCATGCCTCTCTGACTTGAGACAGTGTAAGATCTCAAATAACCATTTCTTTACCTTGTACTTAAAGATGATTACAATTTGCAAATGACAACATACACATGTATCAATAAATTCATAAATGCCAGGGGAAAAACTAAGTCTCTGTTGGGATGTAATTTAGAGAGAAAAACATTAATCCCTCATAAGAGAATCATTTATTTACATTATTCCTAATTTACTTCCTGAAAAATACTGTCTTAATTATAAGATTATTACTGCATGACAATACATCCCAACAAAACTTAGCTGTTTGACCATTACTAATGGCAAAATTATGAAATAATAGTGTTGTACATCATTTGCCACTAAACTCCTGAAGTCCAGAGCAATAAAATCCCCACCCAATTCAGTGAAAAGTGGGACAAACCTATCCTAAATATATAAAAATTATTCTTTTTTACATAAATGTTTACTACTTTTTGCAAATCCAACCTGCTCATTTCATTCTTAACTCTGTGAGTCTGACATATGTGGTTAATTCCTCCTCTTTCTCTTTTTAAAAAATATCAATTAGTAAAAATAGTTTGTTTAAAGAGGAAAATAGCATTTTAAAGGCATCTATATCTTAACAAAGCTATGTTTATTGATGTCAATAATCAAGAAAAAATTTCAACTAACACCCCATTTGATTCAACATCAGAGCTGTCAGCAATACATGCTTTTTTTCACCTTGTAGGTCAGAATTAGAAGGTTATTTTCGATGATGAAGGACTGCCTGCTGGACAAGGTTTTTATTCTCATTTTAACTCCACACATTGGGGCAAATAAAGAAGAGAGCATATTTCTGTGCAGAGTTTTTTGTTTATTCTGTTCCTGAATTAGGCAACGGTGAGGGGTGGGGGCAGTGGGTACACCTGTATAAGCAAAAGAAAATAAAGTTTCCTTGAAAAATTTCTTATAACATAGTTGGATGCTG